TTACATCTCAGGATATAAGCATAATAAATTAATTGCTATTGTGGCGCTGAAAGTTAGCGCATGGGAAAAAATTTTCTGTGTAGGCACGCGGAAGAGATGGACTTTTTCTACGCTTAATAGACATGAAACATGATGTTTCCAGAGAGAAATAATAAAATAGTTAATTGCGCAACAAGACCGGAAAGTGATTCTTTACTGGGCGAGCTGGCACTAGTGGAAGCCTGCGAGCCCAGTAAAGAGCCTTTCCGGGAGTGTTGTGTGCAATATTTTTTCTGCAACCGTTTCTGCTACTCTCAAAATACTTTTACTTGAAATATTTTTACAAAATTCATTAAATCTAACTGAGATGTCAGACGCAGTTGTCTGGAATGTTTAATTAGGTACCGTCTCTACTATTGTCAACCAAAAGTGACATCAAGGATCGGAAAAGACTTTTCTGATCCCTTATGTCATTTTACCGGGCTAGATCAGCAAAATGTATTTTCCACTCAAATAATTTACCAAAAACAGTTAATTTTCTAGAGGTTGCAGAAAAAAGTCTTTATCGATCTCTTATGTTACTTTTGGTTGACAACAGTAGGGTAGGTAAAGTTTATTTCTAACTTATTTGCAACATAAAAACCGTCGGCTTGTTTGATGACGGTAAAGGGATTAAAGAAGCCGACGTTTTTTATGTTTTTATGTTGTAAATAAGTTTTTAATAAACTATACCTAATTAAGCACACTAGACAACAGCAATATGAAAAGCGCCTGACATCTGTCAGTTGATTTTATGATTTTCTTTGCAAATATTTCAAGTTAAAAAGGTTTTTGAGATTAGCAAGAACGGTTGCAGAAAATATATCGTACTCAACACACCCGGAAAGTGTCTTTACTGGGCTCACCAGCTTCCAGATTTTCTTGCGCTCGCCCTGGAATTGCCTGCTCGTCTAGCAAAAAATCGCTTTCCGGTCTTGTTATAAATTATTTATGCCAGTCTTGTTATGTATTACCTGTATGGATACTCAAATCAAAGAACTTCCCAAATGGCAGGGGCGGTTCTAGACCTTGAAAAATAGAAAGGTCCAAAAAATAAAACCAAATTTTTAAAATTTTCGTTAGTAACCCTGAATTAAGTTGTTTAATAATTGCTATTTTTTCAAAATTTATTTACGCGATATTTTTGTTCCTATGGCACCCTGCTTGATTTTTAAAACACAAATGATCTATTTATTGTTTGTTATTAATGATAATGCATCAAATGAATAAGTATTAATAAAATATATCAACTATATATTTAAAGATAAATGCATTTTATATACATGGCACCCTGATTGATTTTTTTAAATTTTAGAAATCTTCTAACATTGTAGTAAAAAATTTGCATTACACGCAGTATATGGTACTAGATACACAAATTTTGCCACCAAAAAGGAAACTTCAGAACATTTCACATAATACCAATATTTCACAATTATTATTATATTTAGCAGTATGTCTTTAAAATTCATTTAAAATTCGGAATTAAAAAAAAATTGATCAATGACTCTGTACAAAAAAATCATCGTGTCCGTATATTCCAGCTTCTGGCAATTTCTTGTTGCTAACGCAATTTAATTATTTATTTATTTATAAATGCACCTCAAAACTTTGGAGGGAGCGTAGAATCGCCCCTGCCAGTGGTAGTAGAAAAATTAGTTAAAAATGTACTATATTTATAATAAATTACAATTAAAGTATATTGGACGATGATATAAATAACACAAATATTTATTACATATAAAATGCAATATGAAGGCTTATTTAATATTTTGTGTTATGTTTTCATTGAGATAAACGAGACAAAACGGAGATACATAAATATTTTTAGACAGGTTAGTTACAATAAAAATTAATGCCAGCACTATCATTATCAAGATATGTGCATGATGTATTGAAGTATGTTGTTTGAAATACCAACAACTTTTTTACCGTGATGAAAATTATACTTTATCACGAGACTAATTTTTGTGTTCGGCAGAAGGGTAAAAAAAGAAGGGGTTGAAAGTATTTGCGAAGTGCGGTATCAGGTGCAAGTTTAATCGAAAAATCTCTGTCTTAATCCTCAATTATTTCTTAAATATTCAAAAGGCGGTGGTGTTCTTTTAATAGAAAATCCTTTTGGCATATAATAAGGGATTATTTTCACTGGAAACCAACAATATTTATTAAAGAATTCTGATGAGATTATAAGATACGATAAGAAATGTGTCGACAATTTTATGGGGTTTCGTTTCGGTGCTTAAAATTATTTTGTTAATGCGTGAACTAAACTAGACTAAACTCATTCATTAGCCGTGTATGTTAATAAAGCAGAAGTTATTTATTTAAATAGCTGAATGAAGCCATTAATTAAACACTAATTACTATTAGACTTTTACGGGACTACATTTTTTGAACACGAACACATATTATAAAACCATACGTACTTTTTAGGTTTATACAGAGTGTTTCTAAATTTCTGTGCTCAATTTCTTGGGCAGATTCTGCATATAAAAGTAAGACAAAAAGTTCGTATTAATACGCGTCGTCAAATGCTTCCTAAAGGGGCTACGGCCACTTGAAACATGAGGTGTCAAAGAAGTGTTTTTATTTAATATATCAGGAACCCTTACTAGAAAAAAATAATAAATTAATTATTAGTATTATATAAGAATCCTTTCAAACCTAATATTATAACAATAAAATACCTATAGTTTTTTACATTTTACGCTGTCATTCTTATTTGAATGCGCTAGTATAAAAGTTTTAGGTAGGCAATAAATTAAACATGACTCCTGAAATATATTTTATCACAGAAATTATTAAAACAGCTACTTCACCTAGATGCAAAATGACATTGGATTAAATAATAATATCATACTAGTAGAACTAGAAGCAAATAAGTACTGAGATTAAAAAACTCCACTCACCAAAAAAGAAAACTTACATTTAAGAAACAATTCCTTCAAGTTACATTACAAAAATTTTTAATATCAATTTTTTTGCTTCCAATACTACTAGTATGAATACTGTTATTTAATTCAATGTCATCTTGCATCCAGGTGAAGTAGTTGTTTTAATACTTTCTGAGATAAAATGTATTTGTAGTGTCGTGTTTAATTTATTATATACCTAAACCATTTATACTGGCGCATTCAGATAAGAATGGCAGTGTAAAATATAATAAACTGTAGGTAGTTTATTATTATGATATTCATATTAGGACTGAAAGAATGCTTATGTAATGCCCAAATATTTAATTTACTATTTTTTCTAGAAATGCATAAAACGAAGCAAATAATCTGTCAGATTTTTAAAAATATCAGAAATCCATCAAGTTAAGGTTATAAAACATAGTACTTAGTTTGTTGTTAATAATTCCTCTTATTTGAACGTAGCTTATATATAAAAAATCTATTAGCATAGTCGTGCAAAGCTAGAGAATTGAAAAATATTGTATTCCGTATTTTTTCGTTCTTAAAATTTTTTCCAATTTGAGACAGACTAGACTTTTAAAAAAAAATGACACAAAAAGTGCTCTTGTTATTTTAACGTAGGACTAGCCATTTTCGAGTAAAATAAGTGAACAAATTTTAATGTTCGATTCAGTCCAAACAAAAACTAAAATAATTTTTTTTTGCATGTCATTTACTAGTTAGGTATAACAACTACGGGTGTGTACATTTGCTGTCAGTGAAGGCATTACAATTAAGACATTCTTATTCTTAATAATTGTAAATTCTTATTTATACATAGGATCATATTTTGTATTCTCGTTAGGCCTTCAAGTTCAAAGTTAACAGCCATTTACAGAGCACCTAAAACAGTGGTGCTTTTAAAAATCATATCAGTTCCACAAGAACTTCAAAATTAAAAATTATACAAGGTTACATGTTACTTAAGGGCATGTATGTACAAAATTTAAATTATATGCATGAGTAGATGGTTACTTGGACATTAAAAAACTTGGAAAAAAATCTTGTACTGTGATGTTTAATATTGTATGTACTAAGAATGTATTTGCCAAAGATGTATGCTCAGGTTATAAAACAACTGTTGTTGAAATGTTATAATCTAGGCTTCCGGCATTAATTGAAACAATCCCAATGAATTTGATTGAAAATGGTAATGGTTAAATTTTTTGGATTCTTCAGATGTTATGCAATTTTGGGTAAAAAGAAAAAATTGTTCCAAACCAATTTGCAACAACTTTTGTCCTTATCATTTCTTCGAGTTTCTAACTAGACATATTTTGTAGGGAATTTATCTACACGTTTCTAACCATTTCTATTGATGATTAACTATTTTTGAGTTAATTTAAATAAATTTTAAATGGCGTCCATTTTTCTAGCACGGTAGCCATTTAGATTAATTTTTAGTATGTTAATTCTAGAAATAATATGAGTGGCTGTACAAAAATCAGTTTTACTATTATTACTTCCACTTTTGGCTAGAAATTGGTTTAATTTTCTTGAGCTAATAACATAATTACAAGAGTATTCTTGTTATACCACATTTGGAAAAAAAAATTGATGTAGGTAAATAGGAAATGTTCATGCTTTTCCAAAAATAAAACTAATACAGTACAGCTTACAAATAAATACTATGTATATCTATGGTTTTGTGTACATCTATGAAAATAATATACTCATAATAAATAAAAAACAGTACCTGAAAATAAAATGAAATAATAATTAATACAAGTAAATTAAAGTGTGTGTAAAATAATGTAATTGTAATAAAAATAAATTAATGTATTTTAAAAACTGCATAACCCATTACCAATCGATTTAAATATTTTAATGATGGCTAAACATATGGTAGGGCTGATTATTAAAAAAGTCAAAAACAGTGTGTTACTGAGGTAAATTCACGTGTTCATTAAGTGTGTTTACTAGGACTTCATGTCAAATATCAAAAAAGAAGACTTGTTTAGTATTTGTGTGCATACAACATTAATATGTTCAGCAGATTTTGTAACATTTTTTTTCATTTAGTGTGACTTCGTGGTCAAGTGGTACAGATACTTGCCTCTCACCCAGGAGTCCCGAGGTCGATCCCCGGTCGAGGAGCTAGGATTTTTCCCAAACCCGAAATTAAACCTAGTACATACTCGGACATTGGGTGTGTGTCCAATGTCTCTAAATGTATAGCCCTCTCCCACACATAGTACATTGAGGTACCTTCAGGGATACAGGGGGTTATATTACCTGTGGTGTTTAAAAAATAAAAGATTTTGTATTTGTAAAATGTAAAATTCAAATTTAGACACAATATTTCAATACAGGTTACTAACTTATTAGTATCAATGCATGTTCCCGTAAGTTTTAAGTTCATTGTAAATATCTCAAGGACGTATATTTTAAAACTGTATTTGGATATCTAAGGAAAAAGCCATTTCAATTCGTTTAATTTAATTATGTTCCTCGTAGATATTTCTTGAACGTTCATTTCAAATAACAGTTAGGGTCAGATGGGAAGGTCTAACTGATAAGAAGATGGTTCTTCGTACACTCAATAAACGATTTATAAATGTATTATTCAGATATTCCTGAACTAAAACACTATTTCCGTCAGGACAACCATCTTGGTGAAATCAAATCTCGTTAAATCTTAGTCTTGCTATCCGTCGAATTCCCCGAACAATTTGCTGCTTGAGAAGATCCAAATATTTAAGAACATTGTGTACCATCAACGAAAAATGGACCGACCATATATTCCCCCAGCATACCACCCTATGCTTTTAATTCCTAGGGATGTCGAGTTCTAACTCAAAAAATCTATGAGGATTTTTCCGAGACCAATAACGAACGATTGAAGTGTTGTGTCGCCCATGTAATGCACATGTCGATTCAGCATATAATGGTGTATGTCCTAGCTCCTTGTCGCAATTTGTGTGTACCTATAACGGGTGATTATAAAGTAAGGGATATATTTCAACTTATTATATATTCTTAACAAATCAAATTAATAACAAAAAGTAAATGGAATCTAGTTGCTTACATAATGGGATTTTTGATGTCAAACACTAGTTACCACAAATGCTTGATACGACCCCTCCATTTTGTTGTTGTAAAATTACCAACCGTTCCTTCAAATTGTATACAGCACTATTCAACATTTCTGGTTGAATTGCACGAATTTGCTCTCTAATACTGTCCTTTAATTCCTCCAGCGTTGTTGACCGTGTTCTAAACACCAATCCCACAGCCAGTAATCCGCTGGGTTAATCCTGCATAAAAATCATGTTTTCAATTCCTTCGTGCTCGTTTTGCAACTGTGGAATTGCATAATCCCTTAACATTTGCAGGTATCGTTCACCAGTAACAGTTACAGATACGGCCTCCCCATTCTGTATTTGCTCGAAAAAGTATGGACTAATGATGAAATTAGCTGTGAAACCGCACGGTGACTTTTTTGTCATGAAGGCCTTGCTGAACGATTTCATGTGGATTTTCTGTTGACCATATTCAACAGTTTTGAGTATTAATTCCACCATTAAGAGAGAAATGGGCCTCATCTGTCTATAAAATACGGGATAACCATTCGAGTTCAATTTCCATCTGAGCCAATACGTGTAATGAAAAATCGTACTTGAGAGCAAAATCAGCGTCCTTTAATTTAAACAGCAGTTGCAGTTTATAGGGATACATTTTTAGGATTTTCCGTAAAATTTTCTAAACCGTGGTGTATGACATTTGTAATCGTTTTGATATAGCATTCACACTACTGATTGCTAGCGGATTAGTATTGGCTACGTTTTGATTTTTCTGAAGAACTTCTGCAACTTGGACATCACTAATCCTAGGTCTTCCTGACCTCGGAAGGTCTTTTACAGACCCTGTTCTTTCAAATTTGCTAATCAAATTACGATACGCCTTCATTTTGCACGGCCCTGCTCTCAAACCCATTTTCGTAGAAATTTTCGTAATCCAGTAGTGTAATTTTTACCGCCTTCATAATAACATTGCACTAAACCAATTCTTGTTTGCAGATCCATATTGAAATTGTTACAATTTACGTTACGCGAGTTTTATTTTAAGAACAATTCTCTAAATTACGATTATTTCGTTTGACACTTGCATCAATAGTTGTCACGACAATTCTTTTGTTTTCCATAGATACACTAAAATCCAATTATTGAGGCAACTAGATTCTGTTTACTTTCTGCTACTAGCATAATTTCTTAAAACTATATAAGAATTTAAAATAGACCCCTTACTTTATGATAACCCCATACATAAATATCTACATCCACTCGTTAATGATGATTGAACATGAAGCATCTATTTATTGGCGTTCATATCAGAATATCCATTTCATTGTTAGATGTGTATTGATATTTTTCTAAAATTGGTACATACTTTCATAAATTCATTAAATATACTACTGTTATTAGGACTGGTTTGGATACATACTAGTTATGCAGGACATTGTCTGTTACGGATGCCCATTTAACACATTTTTTGTTCGTTCTCTCAACATATCTGTCTGATATTATGTGTATGTCTCTTTTGGACATCGTAGTCATATACTTAGTTATGACATGTCTTACTCCATCGTACTAGGTAAAGTTATATTGAATAACTACGAAGAACAAATTTTTCTTGCAAGTTCTGGGTGAGTAAGCAATGGAAGCTGAAAATTGTCTAAAAACATCATGTTCAAACATAGTTAACATCACATTCTATTAATTTTATAATGAACTTGTAATACTTTTATTGTACTAGTACAATACGGTCGGTGATGAGATTCTCAAACTGATGAATCAGATGATAATCAGAGGAACTGTTATATCTAAAATTATCATTACAAAAAACAATAGTTATTTTTTGAAATTATGAGGCCAATTTTGCCTTAATTACATTGTGATAATTTTGAATATTAGAATGAAAAAAATATTACAAAATATTACCTACATATGTATAAACCTATTTTAAATTAAACGTGATTGCTTTTACAGGGTTTCACAGTTTTCAAATTAAAATAAATATAAAGGTAAATAAATGGAAAAAAAAATAAAAAAGAACTGTGTGTACATACATGGCTTACTTTCGATGTATGAGTCCTTAGGCTAGATTCAGTCGCAAAGCCCTTTCCACAAATGTTGCAATGGAAGGGCCTGTTTTTAGCTCTTTCTACTTGTGCATCGTGGTTTCGTAAATGCTGTTGGAGGTTTGATAACTGGATAAAGGCTCTACCACAGTCAGGAAGATGACATTTATATGGACGTTCTCCTTAAAAGAAAAAAAAATAATTGCAACACGAAAAATTTTAATATATTCTTAGTAAGTAATATGCACTCTAATTTCTATGGAAATAATAGTTTTTACCAGTATTTTGTCGAAAAATTAAGTAAACAAATCATAATGAAAATGAGATTAATAAGTTAGGTTTTTATGTTAATTGTTTCTTGGATTATTAAACCTTACCACAATGTATAAAGCTCAAAGTGTTACAGTTTGACATATAGACGTATGGATTACATATTTTCGAAATATTTTATTTGCAAAATAAACTGAATTTTCTTAATTATGCTTTTATTTTGCGGTGTATGCGGTGCATATTATGAATAATATCAAAATAATTTTTTCCTTATCTTTCAAAAAAATATATAAAATTTTATAATTTTCTTGTGTTTCAGTTGATTCAGTCATCGTTAGAGATAATTATTGTTAATTATTTATTGTTTTGAATGACTACAGTATTTAGATTATCTGCTTTGAGTGCTGGAACCTAACTTATGTATCTCGCAAATAAAAAAAAATTAAACTAGACATTTATTTCCAAGTAACTTAGATGATTAATTATTTATACCCATACAGATAAAACCACGAAGGGGCGAACATGGCCATGCATCAGCTGTGCTGAACTGCGCTCACTGAATCGCGACTGTGGATCCTCCTCCACTGCTAATGGTCTGCGCCTACCAATGGTCGTGTTTGCACCTTCGTGGTTTTATCTGTGTATGGGTATTTGTGTAATATATATTATGTAATATATATATATATATATATATATATATATATATATATATATATATATATATATATATATATATATATATATATATATATATATATATATATATATATATATATATATATATATATATATATATATATATATATATATATATATATATATATATATATATATATATATTGTCCATGTGTATTAATTTGTCCATTATATTAATTTTTTTAGCATATCTATTATAACATTATATCAGCATATCATTTCAGCATTTATATGATAATGTATTTCTTTTTTGCTTGTCTCATAGCACGTGCTGTTTATTCACTTATAGAGTAACAATTCATTAATTTACAAATTATTTATTTTTGTCAAACGTGCATATTTATTATATACTTTATAATCCTTTTGCAACATTTTGTAACTTATAAATAACTCAATTTTTATTATAATTATTATTATTATTACTGTATATTTAAATGGGCTACTAGTCCACTGCAGATAATTGATGGTCAGGTAACATAATGTTGCCAGTAACTTCTTCAGCTGTTGAAATCGGAGAACTGGAAAATATACACACCTTGTATATTATTACTAAGTAGGTATACGGATTTAAATCATGTTTTATTACAGCAGATAGATCATTGTGTATAAACCAAATGTGTTCACATAATTTAAATAGTATTTTTTGTTATATACATATGCACATGGTCAACTGAAGTTAACCCTTAAATTAAACTAGGTACAGAACATCTGCTGACGAGGGGTCATCACGTAAAAAAATAAAGAGTTCAAATTAAATGCTCGGTCGATCGACGACTGTAGTGTATCGAATTCGGTAATGAATTTTTATTGTAATATCATTCGTGCTATTAACTAGACATATGTAAAACACCTTTTGTATATTGAGGAAGAGTAACAAAATGTCCTACAAATATCACACCTTAGAACAGTTGATTGTATGTATAAAGCGGTCTAATTAGGGTATAAAAAATTATACCTGTGACCTATAATTTTACCCATGAAATTTGGAACTACACGGCGGAACATTCTCAGTTTTAAAAACTAAATTGGAAATTTTCCTAAGGTGACAAAAAA